CCGATTTAAAAAGTCGCTCCGCAACAGTCGGCGCGCAGGCAAGGGGGTTTCCCTCTTGTCCTAGCCCTGGCGAAAGAAGGAGAGAGAGAGAGAGAGAGAGAGAGAGAGAGAGAGAGAAAGAGAGATAGGCTGATGGGGGAGCCATATCTTTCGCCGAGCTCGACTGTTGTTGCCCCTTAAGGCCTCTAAAAGGGCCCCGCTTTCCAGCGCGGGGGGCCTTAACTCGCCCTCTGGACCCCGAAGTGAAGTGAAGTGAAGTGGAGATAGTAGTCATTTTGCCTCAAGGTCCTCATCTTGTTCTCCAAAGTTGTGTTGGCGTTCACTGTCCTACCGGGGAATGTTCCTACACGCTAGCGACGGCTACTCGTGTACTGCACCGCTTTGCATGTTTTTGCCCGGCTTCGTGGTGGTAGTCTCTGTCTCCAACTTCGTTTAACACCTGGCCCGGGGCAACCCCATTCCATCCATCTTTTCCGCTTTTTAATGACGGGCCGCTGAAGCCTGCAAATGCCTTGAAAACTCGCCCCCTCTCTGGGGCTAAGCCCATGTACATGTACTTTCATGCACAATATTTGTTCCCGGGCCGGTGCCTTAGACTTCCACGATGCGTACACCTTTGCCTTCGTCCCCTTTTCATGAGTAGTGTTCCTTTGCTGGCTTGCTGTTTCCTTCTGGTTTGTTGACTTCGAAAGGCAGAGATCGTACCCTTGCAAAGTGTTGGAATTTGCCGATTTAAAAAGTCGCTCCGCAACAGTCGGCGCGCAGGCAAGGGGGTTTCCCTCTTGTCCTAGCCCTGGCGAAAGAAGGAGAGAGAGAGAGAGAGAGAGAGAGAAAAACAAAAAAAGAAGACACCCAACGCCAGAATGCCAGAAAAGACTTCATCCCTAATCCCTAGAAGAGCTAGGTCGTCGCCATGAGCATGGTTTATTAAGGTTTGGAGCTTCCGTGTCTGGGCTGCAAACTCACGGATCCGAGTTTACCCAGGCTACGGGATCTGATGACGACAAGGCTTCCCGATGCTTCGCGAGCTAGGATTTCAGGTATACTGCTCATGTTTTGTGGCTTTAGGTTTCAGGTTGTCTTATTGCAGAGCTTAGGGATGAAGTTTTTGCTTGCTTGGGAGACAGTTCCAGTTTGTTCCTGTTAGGTCCAGTTCCCCAATTCTGGTAAGGGATAACACATGTGCCCGAGAGACTTGCAAAGAACAGGGCATGTCTTGTTTCCAGTCAGGCCCGTAACAAAACAGGGGGCAGCACGACATGGTCCAGGCACACTTGAAGCTTGCAGCCAACGGTGCTGTTGGTCATAGCCATGAGACCCTTGGAACTCCAGCAGCAGCAGCGATAGTAGTGATATCAGACTCAGAACAACAATCAACATCAATGGTCCAAGTCGCGAGTAGCAAACAGAAGTGGAATGACCGTGACGAAAGTATGTCATAAGCGTGCAGGTTCGTCAGGCACTAAATGGCGACGATCTCCAGCTTACGGAGGTTGCAGCTGCTCCGAAGGCTGGATGGGCCGTAGTGAGGAACTTTTAGGGCCTAGGGTTCACGGATTCCTATCGCAAGTCAGAAGTATTGTGGGAATCGGTCCGAGCTGCCAAGTCTTTATTACTTCATGGAAGGTTGTAGGGTTGCAATTGCCTTTTGACAGCTGCTTGCTGCCGTCTGGATATGTGCATCTCGCGGGTGGAGAAGCATTTTAGATTGAGGACTTGAGGGATGAGGTGAGCTCAGCTCAGCTCCCCAGCTCAACATCGATGACCACTTTGTGATGTAACTGCGACCAGATGTGTGCTCATCCAGCTTTTCAACATGGAAACCTTTCAACACACGAATCTGAAGCCTGTTAGCCAACAGCAAAGCCGGCGGTCCTAAAGCACTTGAAGATCCCTGAAACCTTCTGCGCTTAGGCCTCCTTGAAGGGCTTCTCGGGGTACAAGAAGCAGGAGTCAGGCTCCACAGTGACGGCCATGCTGGACACCATTGCTCGGGACTCAATCTCGCTTACCTCCGAAAGGCCACACTCAACCCTCAACCCCAACCCAGCTCCCCCTCGCAGCTCGTTGCTTGTAAGTTCTAGAAGCAATATAGGACCCAGCATGAAGGGCACATCAGGAATCCTGGGCTTGGGAGAACGGAGAAGCACCCGAAAACATCGAATTGTCACTTTGGGAGTTTGAAATTCAACATGCCAAAGAAAACCCCAACACCGCAATCATAGCTACAGCAACTGCTAGGACTTCGACCGGCGCTACTCCTGCCGACAGGCAATCGCAAGTAGGGTCAACATCAGGAACATGGGCAACAGACTACCAGGAATTAGCAATAGCAGCAACCGTCCTGCAGTTCCAGCGATAGATCTTCGGACTGACTTCCTTTGCGACCTGAAGGCTCAACGAGTGCTTTAACGCGGCTTCAAGCTTAAACGAAGGGCAAAACAGGTAAAGCGGAGCCGCCGATCCCTACCCTTCACCGTCACGAGAAACCCAAGGTGGAGGACCTTGGGAAGGAGCGCAAGGTGGGCTTTGGGGGTTGGCCGGCATCGAGTTTCGATTTCTAGGTTTGCATTGGAGTCTATCATAGATCTGCCTCTCATTAAGAAGCCGTGCTGTGTTCTCCTACAACTTTGAAGGACATCTTCCTGCCAATGTTCGTATTGACTCAGCATTTCCAGGCAGTTCTGTGTGTAACTGTGGTGTTCGGAATTTTACTTTGCTGGTACTTCCCTCCACTACTGCCCGTCCCGAAACAGGTCCCCAAAACTCTGACCCCAAAAGCCTGAGCTCCGCACATTTCACAGGCCCCAAACCCATAGCAATCGCCAGAGCTGGAAGGCTCAAGGCCACGACCACATTCCTAAACTCGCAACCTGGCGCCAAAACCTGCCAGACCGGTCCGAAGCGAAGTGAACCCTGGACAGCTTTGAAAGGGCAAGTGTAGGATTTCGATTCTGGCGTCGTGAATCATAAGCCAAACCTATCAAGGGTGCTGGGCCACAAGTAGGAATCCCACACCAAGAGCTGCAGGCAATGGACAAGCAGGAGGTGGATGCGCAGGTGGCATATGAGAAGTTAGCGGAGGCCGGCAAAAGTCCACGATTTTTAAGAAGCTGCGGTTTGATTGTCGACTTTTCCGGTGCTTGAGGCTGCGGGGACATGGAGTCGAGGTATGAAGCGTTCATTGTGTGAGCTCATCATCTCATCATGACACACCATCTCAGTATCATATCAGTATCATCATCAGCCTCGTTCCATCCATTTTCCTTTTCTAGCCCGTTTGCTCCTCCTGATGATCATGATGGTAGTGATGACGATGATCACCCTCATTCTCACCATCACCATCATGGGACCATCGCCTTCGTCATAATCGTCGTTACCAACATCACATCGTCGTCACCATCATCATCATCATCATCATCATTGTAATCATCATCAGCCTCCACCACCACCACCATCATCATCATCATCACATCATCCTCACCACCATGGTCATCATCGTCGTTCGGAAGCCTCAAACTGGCCCTCTCCGCGGCCTTTCGGAGCAGCACACCGCCATCCCGACAATCATCATGAAGACGACGAACAATAATAGTGAAACTACAAAGCACAACACCACCAACCACAACCACTTCCACAATCACAAACAGCACATGCTCAGAAATCACAGCAACCGCAAACAACCACAACGACCACACCAACCACAGCAGCAGCGGCAACAACGACAACAACAACAACCACAA